TTATAAAATAATAAAAAAAATAATAAAATTAAAAATTATAATTAAATGAAAACTTATTGTTATTAAAAAAAATTCAATTAAAAATTGTTGTAATTACAAAAATAATTTTTTGTTTCACAATTTCAATAACATTTTTTACAAATAGCAATTTTTTATTTTAACACATTTTTTTTAAATTTATTTTAAATATTATTTCCTAAAAAACAAATTCTTAAATTTCATTTCAAATAACATTTCTCATTTACTTCGTTATAAATTTTATATTATTAGTATCCAAAGCAGATTTTAAACATTTTTTTTTATTACTTTTGTTAGGTAAAAAAGAATTACTCCAAGTACATTTTTTAATAGTTTACATTTACGTTTTAAGAAAAAATTAAATAAAAAATATGACAGAAATAAAAATTATTAAAAAAACATATAAAATTAAAAAAAAAAATTGCACAAAAAATAAATAAACAAAAGATATAAAAAAAGTTGAGCAAAAGATTTAATTAAAGTTAAAAAAAGTTGACAAAGAAATTAAAAATGTGTTTGAATTTTTTATAAATTATAAATATATCGACGATATTTTAACTTTTTACTTGTTTTGACTATAGTAGCTTACAAATGTTAATATTTTTTTTGTATTTCTATTAAATTAAATGGTAAAAAATGTTTAAAAAATCAAAACGATTTGTATTTTCACACATTTATGTATTAAATAAAAAAAAAATATTTGAAAATCAAACGGTTTCTATTTTTTACATATGTTTGTAACACACATGCATCGTTCTTTAATATTTAATATATTTTTTCAATTGTTACGTTTTCTTGTTCACAAATAAAAGCTATATTTAAAATTTTAATTTTAACACCTAAGAAACACACATTATTACATTAAATAAATCGTTTATTTTATTACACAAATTTTATGAATATTTTAAAATAATATGTTATAACAGATGCAGCACATTATTTGTGAAAATCGTATAGACGGCTCAAAATATTTTTTTAACATAACAGTTTTTATACAATTTTTAATTATTCGCACAGCTTTTTTTAACTGAATATCCCTTAATATTTTTTGTTTTTAGTTTGAGTACTTAAATTTTATGCTACTTTTTCCTTACTCAAAATAAACAACACCACTTGTTCTTTTTTCAAAAATCATTTTCGAAATTGTGTTCGTTTGTTTTAGCTCTTTTTTTTCGTTTACACTTTCACTAGTTTGTTCATAGCTACAAACTACTATTAAAGCTCGAAATGAAGTGGTCCATTATATATATTTTTCAAATATACATATGTATGCATTTTTAAAACCATAACTTCGCTAACTATGCTGGCGTTACATACTTACTGATTTGTGCGCCTGAAAGTGTGCTACTATTACCCACTAGATTTTGAGACAAATGCTTATCATTTACTTTTTTTTGCCGTTAAGCGGCTGTACATTTTACATAATAGCATTTACATACAAACTGCGGTATGCTTATGTGGCGTAGGTGCTTACTACATACATGTATATATATGTATATGTGTATTTACATGTGTAGTACATTTACATACTAGATATTTCATTAGCGTTAAATAAAGTTTAGGGCGCCTGATACCGACATAAAAGTTCCGCAGTGTAATTTGCAGAAAGTGTAGGGATTGATATACAAAATTACTATGAATACTCTCTGAGCAATAAATTAGTGTCTACTAAATCCCCTAAGCTAATTACTGCAATAACTTTTATGAAATATCAATGTTATTAATTTTAATTAGTATGAAACATATTATGATTTTTTATTATATAATATAAACAGGCCAGCATAATTTGTTCAACTAAAGATTGCACGTAACGGCTTAAATATTTAAAATACATAGATAGTATTTTATAGACATTTTTACATATCACATAAAATTTTGGAGCTAAATCATAAACGTTTTTGGTATATTGTATTTCATCTTAGCTTTTATTTGGCATATAGGTCAGAATTAAAGGTACCTCAGGGAGTTTAGTCACAATTTTTCGCTTAGCAAGTGGTTTTTATGTATTCATATTGAATTAAATTTTTTTTTTTTATTCAATATATTTWATTTGCAATCTATTTTAGTAAATAATAAGCAAATTTGATAACAAAACCATAATTTGACTTATATTCTTGATCTCCCATGAAATAATATACAATGCTACAAAATGTTCTAAATGCAAATGTTTATATAAAAAATTTAATTATACATTTAATATATTAGTATCATATGTGATTAAACATTAACTTAATTCTTAAATGGGATATCTAGAACATGTTGTCTTTTAAGGCTAATAGTTTCATTACTATCATCTAATAACATGACTGCCAAAGGAAAAATCTCATGGTAACTTATCCTGTGCAAATATGCTGAACTAAATCTTTTAATTTCATCTTTAACAAAAGGTATATTCAGGTCTGAATGAATGGCTTTATTTGTTATGAACCAAGTAATTAATCTTAGAGTTTTCGATTGGTATCTTTGTAGAATTTCAATATTTGAATTACAAGCAGTGCCCCAAAGTTGCACACCGTATGTCCATATAGCTTTTAGGATAGATTTATATAATAGTATATTTTCAAGATGTAGAAGTTCACGCAAGTGAGGAAAGTTCTCCGATCGCCATTAACTTGGGAGTGACCAGAAAAGATTCTTTTACATATGACTCAAGCAGCTCACGACTTCCGGTCCTTGACCAAGTATTATTTGCGCAGCTTAAGAACATCCGTTTGAAGGCNTGTGTATGTATGTATCAACATACTAGTTTTTAATTTTTATAAATATGTATACATACATATACTTATATGTATGTGTATATATATGTATATACTTTTTTGTTTTTAATTATTATTATTTTCTTTTCCTCTTCGCCTGCTTCGTTTATATAAATTAGTTATTATTTATAGTATTACTAAAGTGAAACAACTTTCCGTTTGCATGCTTCATATATAATATAATTATTGCTGCCTGCTGATTGCTTGCCGAGCTCTCTTGGCTGCTCTAATTTAGCTGCTGCTCAGCAAAAAGCTTACAATCGGGACTAGTAGTGCTGCGGTGGCAAGCAATTTGCCGAGGCCGCTGTGACACGTCGCCGCGTTCTCTTGACGTGGCTGTATGTCGTTGTTGGTGATCTCGGTTGGGCCCAATGGATCGAAGGGCGATGAGGTGGCACCTGAAGGTAAATGCATAAGTAAAAAGTAAATGCTGAAATATTTCTTGCTCGGTAAAAAATTCCAACTTACCGTCGCCAGAGCCGTCGCCGGAACCATTCTGATTGCCGTACTCCTCATCGTCCATGTCGTCGGGCATGTGACCGGAGCCCTCTTCGTCGTGGCGCGCCATATCGCTTTGTATATCCGAGTATGAACGTGGAGTGGATGGTACCTGATTTATTTTAAATATAGGTTTTGTTAAAATTTAAATTTCAAGTATTATTATATAAGAACGGAAGGGATAAGTTCGGGCGCTGTTACTTTTTATACCAAACTACAGTAACTCTAAGAGAATACGTTTATGTTGTGGCCTACTGAGCGTACTATTCGTAACACCATCACACTTCTTCAGACCCATTATTCATTATTGGATAATATTTGACCGAATGGTCCACGTCCACACGTAGTGAAGAAAATATAGCAGCCGTAGCTGAGATTGTACACGAAGACCGTGGAGAGTCAATTCGGCGCCGTTCGCAGCAACTCTGTCAGACGTATGGAACGACTTGATGCATTTTACGTAGCTATCTAAAATCGCTTCGCTATATGAGCCCTTGAAAAGTTATAAAGCCAAATTTTGGGTATGTAAGCAAGCAAAATTGTCGCATTTTGGGCGAAGAGCAATCTGAAGAAATTCAAGAGCTGCCATTTCATCCAGACAGAGCAATGTTTTGGTGTGGTTTGCGGGCCAGCGCTAACACGTGTTTGATTGATTGTCGCTTCTTTTAAGTCAATAAAATTAATGAAGTTTATGGACCCGATACAGTTTCCATTTCCACCGCATAACGATGGTTTCAACGTTTACGTTCTGGTGTAGAGGTGGTCGCAGATGCGCCACGCTCTGGAAGTCCTGTCGTCGAAAATTGCGATAAAATCGCTGAGTTGGTCGAAAGAGACCTGTATAGTAGCAGCCGTAGCATCGGTCAAGAGTTGGGCATGTGTCATCAAAAAAAATTGTATGAACAATTGAAAATTCAATAAAAAATACCGCAAGGCTTTTTTTAAAACCTAATATTTGCAGTATCTGTGTTCATTCTTTAAAAAAGTAGGGAATCTCGAAAGAGATCACGCTTTATTTTTAGCTCGATTCGTTTTTATACATATATGTAGTTAGTTAACTATAATAGTTAAACACTTACCGCTGCACCAATATTTTTGCGCACTTTGATCAATTTGTCCACCAACTCGTTCAATTTCGTTGACTGCGAATTTACCTCCAACGGCACCTCGGGATTGTAACGTTGCGTATCGACACCCTGTGCCATGACCAATTGCGTGTAGTCGCCAACACGATCGCCTGTCCAGCACTTGTGATCATTTCGTTGTATGTCATCATCTTCGCACACACTGTAGAATGAAAGCGGAAAGTAGAAAACAAAAAAAAAATGAAAATGAAGTTTAAAGTTTTCAAAAATTGTCTTCATTGTCATTTAAGGTTTGTAATAGTTTTCTGCAATAAATTATTATAATATTCCAATTTTTAACAGAATTATTGTTTTCGTCGAAATTCCCAAAGAAGCACAAAATCCTAAAGCCCAAATGTTAACAACCTTTGTTCTTAGTGCCCGAGATACTATACACGAAGTATTTCGGCCCAAACCATTACCACCCGTGAAAGTGGTAAGTGTTGCTTTCGTTTTTTGGTTACCACTAACGGTGCTCTGTATAATTGTCATTCTCACTTGCAGCCCTGTCTGTCCATGTCGAACAAGGAGATGTTCTGCAACATTGTCTTCTTCAGCGCGGCTATTTTAGCACCTCTCTACTATACCGTCTTGCGTGACGCTCTGCGCAAGATTCGCAATGTAAATTATAAAATAGTTCGTGTGAGAAATTAAATTTCGCACCAATGTCAAAGAAATCCCTGATTCGTGAGAGTAAATGTAATGTTTGCAAAAATGTTAAGCAAATAATAAATAATTGCGCAAATAAATTAAATATGTAACTGTAAATTTAATATGTAGAGATAGCGTTACTCACTTGTGAACGATGTTCGCGTAGAATTCTTTGGATTTATCGATTGTAGATTGGAAGCGTAGAATTTCCGTGTCTGGTGGTGAGGCCCACTTAATGGTATGTGTAGTTTGGGGGCGTGGCTCGCTGTCTTTAGTGAGGGAGGGTAATAATTTAGGTGTGCCACATGTTTTCTTAACCTGAAAAAAAAATGAAGATTTAATTAAGTGTGAATCAACCAATAAGCTGACCTCCATATATAAATATCAATTATATTTATCTAAATATATACTATATATAATTTAGTATATTTTTATCAGTTATCGGGGAATCGTTATTTTATCGATACGTTTAGATCCATTTGCATTTTTGCTTAATAACTAATTTCGTTTGATGACAACAGCCGATCTTATTGAACTTTTTTGCAGCCAGCTTCACACTTAACCGCATTCTTGTTTAGGAGAATGGAGCCACGTGTAGAAGTTCACGCAAATGAGGAAAGTGTACTGAGCACCATTCACTTGGGAGTGGTTAGAAACGTTTTCTTTACATATGGCTAAAACAGCTTACAACTTCCAGCCTTAGACCAAGTATGCTCAGGGTACCCAAGAAACATCCGTTTGGAGGCGAGCTAAAGTGAGAGGGCGAATCATTCCTGCACAGGGTTATGCGCTGGGTTTGGGATTTTTTCTGATGAAAGACTTAACAACTTTTCCGTTATACATATATTTGTACTATAGTAAACCTTGTTTGTAAAAAAATTTTCTTGACTTTTTTGGAATAGTTTTTGTTTGGTGTCCTATCGAAGTCGGAAGAAGGAACGTCATTTTTCGGCATATTTCACTATAAAAAGGGTAAAAATGTGTACCCGAACCCCAATACCAAAATTGGTTTGTCGATGGGGTAAAATAAAGCTGTTGATCGATGCAAATCGCTGAAAGACAAAGCGAGATTCAATTTGTCTAACACCACCGTTCACAAGCAAATGAAGCGTCTAGGATTAATTTCGAAGATTGAGATATGGGTTCCGCGAGTTCTTATAGAACGAAATTTGTTTCGTCTCGCATTAACGACTGTGATTTACTTATCAAACATCAAACATCAATTAATTTTTGAAGCGTAATGTTACTGCCGACAAAAAGTGGGTTGTTTACAAGAATGTAAAACAAAGATATTGGGGCCTAAAAAGGATGAATCAGCTCAAACGACTCGAAGGCCGATAGTCACCAAATAAAGGTTATTTGGTCTGTTTGGTGGGATTTCTTAAGTATATTATGATCAGATGGACGAATGTAGTGATGCACTCAAAACAGAATAGGCCAGAATTGATCAATAGAAAAGGTGTCCGTCAAATTAATGCGACATCTCTTATATGTTTGATGACTCGCTAAAATCACACCAACCTTATTTTCCAGACTTTATTTTTTTTTTTATGGTGAACCTTCACCACAAATCAAGACGCCAAAAACCACTTGTACATGTTTTTTGTCTGGAAAGAATTTTATGAGCATGGAATAATTTTCTTGCCCGAAAGTTTGCGAAGGTATTGGATCGAAATGAGAATATATAATTTCAAAAAATATATATTTTCCAAAAATTTTCCAAAAATATATATTTCTTCCAAGCAAATAATGGAGCATCTCTTATGCACTGGCTCGCATTGGCACGACTACGCTGCAAGCTTCTGGGGTACCCACGGTGTAATACACTGGAAAACGTATCGATAGGCCGCAGAGTCTGAAAGTTCGCGTGAAGCGAACTGAACTAAACCTGGTTTCGCAAAGGACCAAAACTGATCTATGCGTGGCTTTTTTGCCTCCCAGACTAACCTAACCTAATCTATATACTAATTTGATTTGATCGCAAATATCGATCTGAAATTTGCAGACGTATTGTTCTTCCTATAATGCTACTCATTTGTTAGGTTCGCCGATATAAAATAAGTAAGGATATAATCGCTATACAAGCTGATCGATCGAGACTAAGTCCTTGTATGGAGTTCTTTTTAACTTCACAAGATATCTTCACGAAATTTAGCATAGATTATTATCTAAGACAACGCTACAAGTTTCGAATATTTAGATCGGACGACTCATATAGCTGCCATATAAACTAACAAATTCAAGTTCTTGTCTGGTTAATTTTTTTATTTGTGAAGGGTATTATATCTTCGTTTCAACAAAAATTAACTTGCTTTCTTGCTATTGCTACAAAAATGTTATCGAAAAGTTGGAAAAATTAGATTTTAATCTATTTGGCGTCGGTCAGTTAATGGACTTTGCGTGGATTTTCTTAAATCGGAAATATTGTCGAAGTATTATTTCAGTTGGCTTACAGGTAAAACGATTTGAAAGCACTTCACGTGTAAGTTTTCATTTTTATGAAGGGTCAAACACAAGCAATTCAATACTATTGGCTTCATATGTTTAACACCTAAAAATTGCAAGCGAATCTTCAAATGTATATGCCATATATTCGGTTGCTGCTAATTTCTATGTACATAAATGTCTACAAGCTAATAAAACTCTATACAAGTTTACAAAGAGCCTTTACTCTAAGTACCTTCGTATGAGAGTTCGTGTAAGAGCAAAGTGCTAAGCCAAGGCGCCACACTTCTCGTACATGCCCTCACAGTACACATGAGCGTGGCACGTTTTCTTCTAATGGCAATTTACAGCTGAAAGCATTTGTATGCAACACACAGGCAATTAAAATCGAATAAATACAAGTATGAGTGCAGTGGTAGGCGCCTCTATGGTTTTTGGATTAAGCGTTTTCATGAAGTTCTTCATTGTTTTACGAAGGTAGTTTTCCTACGGTTTATTAACTACCATAAGCACAGCTACATTTATTTCTACTCGTATTCGGGTGCGTTTATTTGTATGTGGTCATGTATCTGGTCGTGTATGTGGGTGTGTGAGAAACTCGACTAATTTGGTCAGACTTAATTCCTATGCTTCCAATTCTATGCGCACGTGTGCATATACTTATGTACTATATGTTTGTAAGTTTCCAACAACAATTTGACGTAAGGCAGTAAGGTGCCTGCGAACTTGCAGTCATTAGATACACAGATTGTTGAGTTTCCACGAAGGCTCGTTCGAGTTGCACTGATTGCAGTTGTTCGGTGTGTAATTTACGAAAATGTAAACGTAGTCCACGTAATAGTGCAGTGCAGTGCATATTAATTAACTGCTATTCATAGTTATGATTACGAAATATGTGTACACGGACTTATATGAAACATATGTGTAATATGAAAACAATTGGAGATTTGAATGAATGCTTACTTTCGTATATATGTACATATGTATGTACATCGTCCTGTTAGTTTACTTTGAACATATATGTAAATGTTGGTGAATATCCACCTAAATATGTGAATGAGGGAAAAGTTAATTAAGTGAGCAGAATGCATTGTGAGTGTGTGAATTTGTGAATGGTCTGTAAATATTAATACATTTGTATTTATACCCTCTACAAATGTGACATATTTACACAATTATAACTGCAAAGAAGGAGAAAAGTTAAGTTAAATACCCTGCACGGGGTCTATTTTTATAGTACAATAGGGTCTAAAGATCGTTTTATCTTTATTTTGATCGATGAATTTGTATGACAGCTATATGCTATAGTAACTCCATATAAACAATTTCTTTGAAGATTGTACCGTAGCTTTGGACAATAATTCTTGATAAATTTCGTAAAGATATCTTGCGAAATAAAAAAGTTGCAAGGATTTTCGAAGCGTTCAGTTTGTATGACAGATATTTCCTATTAGGAATATCGTGGTAAAATTAAAATACCCTTCTTATCAGATGTTATCGTAGGCCTATAAAATATGCTCCCATACAGCTCACTGTTAGATAACTTCCGAATAAATTTACGAATAAAAATTTATATTATTGACGATTAAGATTAGATCGAACAACCCATTTGTCACAAATTTTGTATTTCTAACCAAATTTCTTGTTCGAAATCGTTGTCGTTGAAGACATGCTTCGTTCCGGACGACTTTCGTCCACTTTAATTGATAAAAATATTAAAAAAGTGAAGTTCTTGCTCAACTCGTCCCGATAAAGCCGATTTTTTTTCAAAAAGAGTACCCAAAGAGACCTATTTGGACTTGATTGATCGTGCGAATTCCGATTCCACATTCACGGAGAGCATTATAGCTGCCAATGAGATATGGGTTTATGAGTTTGCCATGCAAACAAGGGAACAATCATCCGCATGGAGGGAAAAAACGAACCGAAATAAAAAAAGAAAAAAAAAAAACACGAAAAAGCCGTTCAAATCTCAAGGTGATGATCATTGTTTTTTCGATATTCGTAGTTTGTTGCATATGAATTTGTTCCGAAGGAACAGACGACCAATAAGGAGTTCTGTTTGGGCATTTTGAGGCGTTTGCGTGAGAACATCCGTCGGAAAAGACCGTAATTAAGGCAAAGCATTCATGGATTTTACACGATGATAATGCACCACCGCATCGAGTCACATATGTGATCGATTTTAAAGCCAAAAACGCAATGAGCCATACTATGGCCAGATTATGTTGTCCAAATGGACGAAAACACCCCAGCTCGGAAAGTATTCGACTCAGTATCCGCAGGGGGATGCAACGGAAGAGGAAGACCTCCACTTCTTTGGAAGGACCAGGCGTCCTGGCTTCGCTGGGAATCTCCAATTGCCGCTATCTAGCGAAAAGAAGAAACGTCTGCCGCGCTGTTGATAACTCGGCTTTAACCGTGTATGTGGTGTCTAAAGAAGAAGAAGTATAAATGATCAGCGTGACGAGCTGTGTCGATTTAGCTATGTTCATTATTTAACAAGGTTGCATGAAATTTGACAGTGGTTATTGTCCAAGGCTTCATTTTCTTCGATAAAATTGGTAAGTTTGGAACACTATAGCATAATACTACCATTGCCAATCTCGTCGATCAATTAAAATTAAGATAAAAATTTTTTATACTCTTTTCTTGTATTATACATACAACGTATATGTATATTATGAATCGATGTATAAATTTAGTTGTTAAATATCCCCATATATTTGCACTTTTATTAATTTCATTTAATGTGCTTGACAAACAGACACTTCAGAAATTATTATCCATCAACATTATTTTATTAAGAGCAATAATAATTGCAATTACATATTGTGATATCACGACAATAGATAGCGCATGAATGAATGCAA